ATCCTCATTAATGAGGGTTATTATTGACAAAAAAAAAAATATTCTTAATTATTGTGCAACTTCTCAAAACGACATTTATTAAAAATAGGAGAGAGTAACTATTTCTCTCCAAAAAAATTATTTACTATTTTGAAAAATTAACTTAACAATTTATGGTATATTTTAAATGATCACTTGTAGAAATTGCAGCTCATTATTTAAGGAAGTAAAATTCATAGTTTTATGTGAATTAATTAATATATGGTATACATTGGACGAATTTATTTTTGGTATTGATCTTTGTTTCTATGGGAAATAAATTAATCAATATATGTATGAAGTGAGCAATTTATTTAGGTTTTAATTTTTTAGCATGATAAAGAGGGTCGATTTTTGTTGGCATAAAATCTTATGATTGATTGTTTTTACTCAACTAATTAAATATTTTGATTTGAATATTTTATACAAAAATAAATTTATTTTAATTAATTAAACATTATAATTTTTATATTTATACTTATTATTAACATTGGTTTTAAAATATATGATAAAATTTTACCAAAATAATTATTTTATGGAATCACGCTATAATCAAATCGAATTTATGAATAAAAATTTTTAAATGACACATATTATGAAATGAATATAATATGGACTAGGAAACCATTAGACCATCTTTATCAACAAAACCTCATAAATCCCCTTTTACATTTCCCAATATGCCACATCATCCAAAACCTCATTCTTACTCCTATACTCATAAACCTCAAATAACAATAAACCCCATAAACCTCTTTTTATGGGTCCCACATGTTTCCCACTTACTTTTAATTTAATATTACATTCTTATATTTTTATATAAATTATTATTGAACTTTTTATTTTTATTCAATCAAAATGTTACATTTATTCATCATAAATACATATAAAAAAAAATAATATAATTATATAAAATAAACAACATTAATTAGAATAAAATTAAAGTTTATAATTTGATAATTTGAAATTATAAAGTAATAAATAATATCATAAAAACGTTAATTGGTATTATCAATTTTTTAGTTATATTCTAAATATTATATTTTAATAATTATGTATATTAATTAAATTTTATTAAATTATTATAAGAAAATAATTTTTATTAAATTGTTATAAACAAATAAACCATAGTTCTTAATATAAGAAAAAAAAAACGAATACAAAAATAGAGAAGAAAAGTAAGTGGGTCATCCACTTTGAATATATATTATTGTTTAATGAGGTTTGAGAGAGGTTTACATTTGCAAACCTGTTGTGAATTTATAAACCTTAAACCTATGAAGTTTAATAGTAAAACCTTGGAGTTGGGGTTTGTAAACCTCCACAAAAGCTCTTACTAAAGATGCTCTTAGGACACAAAATCGATAAAGTTGTATTAGGAATCTTGTAGAGATTTTTTTAATCTGGTTTTTCATCACATTGGTGATTACCGTTCATGAAATCTTCGAAAATCTGACTAATTACATATTCATGGACTTATTTCCACACTTCAACTGAATTTTTTAACTGCTCTATTTGTCTTGGTAAATGGTTCTCGATACCCATTATTAGGATTACGTAATTTTAATCCGCGAAGTCTAAAAATATCATCACACTCGTCCTGTCCCATTTTACCTCCCTTTGACAATGTTCATTTTACAATTTGAGACAGAATGTGTGTGCCTAATCTGTTGCAATCAAAATTTTGAATGAGAAGTTAATCCAATGTTTTGATAGTAAAAAATAAAACGGAGCAAGAGAATTCCTCTTGTGTGAAGTAAAAATTAGGATAAAAAATCATTTTTATGCATGCTCAAGTTTCTTGTTTTCTTTATTTATTTATTTCAAGTTTTCTTTATTTTTAAATCCATATTGGTCACTTATATGGCCATATAATCCTGTTAATATGAGACCATATATGTGCATCTAATTTTACATGGTTTATAATTTATGTGGAATCAATTTTTTGATGAAAGAAAAAGTTAATGGCAAAATGATTGCGAAGACCCTTAAGATTAGGGTCTCATAATGTAAATAAAATACTTTATTGTGCATTGAAAGTAGCTTAAGAGAAAATATGAAAGGCAAATTTGAAAAAAAAAAAATGAAATAAATCGCAATGGTCAAGTGGGTGGAGTAGGTATTGACAAATAAAAAATATATATATTTTCAAACCAATATGAATTTAAATTAAAATATAATATTAAATAATCTTAAATTTCTTTTCTACATCATCATTAGACTTACCACAGTTTATAAAGTAACTTAGAATATGTTGAAAGCAAGATTTTCCAAATCTTAGGGTGGAGGATCAGCCCCAATTTCTCTCGAACCCTACATCCTTCATTGCCGTTTGTCCGACACTCCGACTCGACCTTGAATCGTGCCTTCTCCGGCGATTGGCCGGTCCCTTCGCCGGCGGATGGCCTATAACTGCGTCACCTTGCCCCAATTTCTCTCGAACCCTACATCCTTCATCGTCGTTCGTTCGACACTCCGACTCGACCTTGAATCGTGCCTTCTCCGGCGATTGGCCGGTCCCTTCGCCAGCGGATGGCCTATAACTGCGTCACCTTGCCCCAATTTCTCGCTCCCTCGTGCTTCTGCATTGATGGTGGTTCTCCAATGCCGTCGGTTGGACTTGTCGTCTCTAGCTTGCCGGTGATGGTCTAGTCTTCTGGTTCTCCGAGTTACGTCGATGGTGGTTGGCCGACGGTTAGCTTCATCTATGCTCGGTCAGCGGCAGCGGCGGATACATGAATTTTTATCTGCCAGGGCAATATTAAATAATAAAGTACTTGAAATTTTTTATGTAGTGTTTATTACATACGAATTTACCAATTTCCTATTCACATTCTTCTAATCTTCTTCTCTCATTTGGAGTTGTTTCGGCCGTGCTAGTTTATCAAATTTCCAGAAAAAAAATATATCTCAATTCCAAATTTAACTCGACTTTAACTCAACCCTACTATCATCAATATTATCAATATAATTAAATAATATCATTCAACTATTCTTACACATTACATCAACTTAAATGAACTATTTATCCACTCACATAATTTTAGCTATCTATAATTTTCAATCATATATCTCCTACTTTTACATCAAATCAATTTTAATCATTTTATTTTGAATATTATTTTAATAAATTCTTAAATTCTCACTAACAACTAACTATATAAACCTTTTCAACTAAACTCTAATTAACACAAAAAAAAAAAATTTTTCTAGTTTTCTATAAACAAACAAGACCCTACTTGTCCTGACCAAATCCATAGAATTGACGTTATCTTGATCATCCTTTCATAATTCGTTAAGTCTAAAATTTGTCTCATTAAAAGAAGACAAAATATGAAATAAAAGGATTGTATCTGCACAAGCAACACATTACATTGTCTTCTTTGATCAACAATAGCCCCATCCTCTTATCATTTCAATAAATTTAATTATAGAAGAGAACATAGAGATAATGTTCGACTTCGTTTTATATAGACTATTGAAAAAAACTTAAAATTATTTTTATCATGTCTAGCAAGTTCTTCAAATTTGTCGTTTCTTCCTAAATATTTATGTTAAAATTATAACTACATATGGTTAGCAATAAAAATCTAACTTGGGCAGTTGCCCAGGCTGGCCTAAGTCTCAATCCGCCACTGGTCAGCGGGGGGAGCTCGTCCGCTGTGCGTCTGGTTCACGGTGGGTTGCTACAAGGAGGTGAGTGGTCGGGATTGGGTGCGACCCTGGTTGCTCGGCTCGTCTGAGTCGAGTTGGCCGAGGCTGAGGTGGGTCGATTCGAGTCCCTTGTGTCCATTCTGCTGGTGTTGTGGAGTTGGATGTCCGGCACGCCTTGATCTAGACCAATGGTGTTGGCCGGATTTCGGGCATATTGGTGTGTAAGGGGACTGGTCGTTGCTACTCCGGTTGTGGGTCGATTTCATTTCCTTGAGTTGTCGGGGGTCTCAGATTTTGGCTTCAACTAGGCATTTTGGCACTTTCGGGAGCAGATCCTGAACTGCGATTCAATATCGGGGGGATGAATGTATGTGATTCTGCTGGTGCTTTGTGCTGGTTGGTTATCTTATCTGGAAAGAGCTCTGTTTTTATTTGGCATTTGTTTTGTTTCTTCTATTTTTAGGTTAGGTGTGTCTGTTTGTTTAGTTTGTTTGGTTTGGTCTTGTGTTTTTTTGTAGGTTTATGTTTTTGGTTTAGGCTTCGGTCTCTGTTTTCACCCGAGTGAGTGCGGTATTATCCTTTTGGGATCGATTCTCACTCGGCATTATCCTTTTGGGATTCTTTAGTAGTTTTTGTTTTGTAGTGTTGTGTTTGTGTTTTCTAGCGTTGCTAGGTCCGGCTCTAGGCGATCTTCGGGTCTGCCTCTCGGTTTATTCGATCGTTAGCTATATCAAGCAGCCTTTGGCTGATTTTCTTTTCACACTTTGTACGTCTTATAAAACCTCTATCATTCTGGAAAAAAAAAATCTTAGGGTGAATACACAAATGCTACTTAAAATATACTAACGGGTGCGCATTAGAATCCCAAATATCTTTCACATGACTCATGGTCAAGTATTTAGCAAGATTTGTTCAAATGAACTCTCCTCCAAATATTATCACATGCACTCACAAACACAATACAAATCTTTCTTTGTATCTTCAGAAGGAATATGAATTAAAAGAAGACTTTCAGAAATTCATTAACGTAAAGCTCAATCTAAGCAGTCGTGCCCGTTTTTCAAGCCATCACTCTCAATTTAGTATTATTATACTAAAACACTATTAAATAGCCAACTAGTTACTCTATAATAATCAAATTAAGCTTTAACTAACCCAGATGAAGACAAAATGATCATCCACTAAATCAAAGCTGTATAAATACTCACACCTTAAATCATCCATTTTAAACAAGATCAGTTCTCCATTCCTTCCCCTTTTTTTTCTTAAATAAAAATTAGCCAATCATAAAAGGTTAAACGTTTAGACTAAAAGAAAAAAGAAAGAAAATGAGTTCGAAAAGAGTCACCAAACAGAGCAAGTCGACAAGGTTCGTGTGCGGGCCGGTTCGGGCTGCTGCCCGAGCCTGGGATTCATATGTAAATTCCCTTGCGGGCCTGACTTGGCCCGTAACCCACGGCAGCACCATGGGCTGCCCTATGCCGCATTTCTCAAGAGTGGATGCAGATAACAGAACCTTGGACGAGGAATTGCGGGCTGTGATGAGGCTCGCTGTAAAATCCATGCGCCCGCGAAAGCAATGCGTCGTGCCTCTGGGCGGCAACTCAGTTTCTTTTGGGAGGATTGATGAGGACAGAGAGTGTTAATCATTTCATATTCCCGTATTTGAAATTTTTTATTGTCTTCCTCATAGATAAGTTAGTTATCTTAAGATATGATGGTATCTTTTAATATTAAGAGAATATATATTTTTCCCATCCATAATTCTGTATACAGCTTTGTAATTCTGCCCTTTTGTTGTAGTTATGTTATTCGTGATGATGCAAATGAAATACAAACTCTTACGACTGTTGAGGTGAAGTAATGAAATTTGAAAAGATAATTACATTGTGGAATGTGGAGTATGTATTTTCCAGGTTATTTTGTGTTTATGCTACTGTTTAGCATATAATTATTTACATAAAAAAAAAAAAAGATAAATGTCCCTAAGATCAATAACTGAGACTGTAATGGGACAATGCGAGCTACTAGAAAATTGGACCATACAAGCAGAACAGACAGAGTATGCAATTTTCTGGCTATTTTGTGTGTGCTATGTCCATAATTGTTTGTGCTACTTAAATTTTGGGGGAGTACTAAAACTGTGCTTAAATTTATAGACAATGTAAGTTCATGAACTGTTTGGAAAGTTGGTAATAAACAATTAACTATCAGTAAAGACTCAAAACTCATTCATTAGTTAAATGTTTGGTCAAATCGTACAAACATGATGTACAAGCCAATATTTCCTTTTCTTAACCTACTTATTATTTCACCCACCTAACTATTCTTCTGACCACGACATTGACTTAAGCTGCATAAGCGAATCCCTCCTAGCAATGAGCCCAGTGAAAAAGCACAAAAAAATGAACTACAAAAATGTGCTTCAAATTCCAAGTGATGAACTAACACTGGAATTTGGACACTAACTATGCAATAAATTCAACTCACAAGAACTCTCTCAATAAACCTCAAAGTGAAGTATTTTCTCGTATCCCAACTCTCTTGACTCGTGAGTGGAAAATCTTACTATATATAATTTCTACAAAAGGTATGTAGGTTCAAATATGTTTCCGAATCGAGACAAAATAAAACTATCTCAACTTATAATAAATTCACACACCAAAGTCCAAATAATAATATTAATATATATTAAAGAAAACATGAGAACAAAATAATTAATTAGTATTTTTAATAATAAAAAAAAAAAAACTGAAAAATTGCCACCGAGCCCGCCTAGGAGCGCCTAGGTCCGCCTATGCCCGCCTAGACGCCGCCTAACCGCCTGACCGCCAAGCTCGCCTAGGAGCGACTAGGGCCGCCTAAGCTCCGCCTAGCCTCCTGGCTGATTTTTTCTGCCGATTTGTGCAAATCGGAGGCGCCCGGACACCGCCTAGCGCCTAGAAGCCGCCTAGGCTGATTTTTAGAACAATGGGTATATGTTGGTACCAAAATTGAGTTGAGAAATGCTACATTCTTTGAAAATATTTTTCCTTTTAAGTTAAAAGACAAAATCTAGTTCTAACAAAGGGATGTATATAAGAAATTGCTAGCTCTTTTATATCGGATGGTACAGAAGAAAAAGATGAAGAATCGAGACATGATAATCGAGACATGATAAAATGGTAAAAATGGCGAAAACATTTAGACTTAATTTTATTATGTATATGTTGGACAATGAACCAAGTTCCATTAAGGAAGCTTTATCTAGCCCAGATGGATCATTCTGGGAAGAAGCTATAAATAGCAAAATCGGGTCCATTATACAAAATCACACTTGTGAGTTGGTTGATCTCCCTGTGGGTTGTAAATCTTTAGGATGCAAGTGGATACTAGAGAAAATACAAAGCTGATGAGATGATTGATAAGTTTGAAGCACATTTGATGGTAAAATGTTTTAAACAAAAAGAAGGGTATGACTTCTTTGATGCCTATTCACTGGTTAATTTACACGCAGTTAAGTTAATTTACAAGTAGGCTAGTTGGTCTCAGTTACCTGCTACATGCGTCATGGGACCAAAAGGCGGATTTTTTATTTTTCTTTTTTTACTTCAAGGACCTAGAAACATTTCTAGAAGTGGACACTTTCGGTGAGCAAAAGCAAAAATAGGGCCAGTTAACAGACTAAAAAAAAATCTTATTGCTTATTGCATAAACTTAGCAGTAGTTTGGCTGGCAATGTTAGTTTCTAGGTACTTCTAGATTTCTCTTCAAGTGTTTAAGCCATAGTTTGAATCCAAATGTCCTCACTCAAAGAAGGTAAAAGCAAAGAAGCAAGAAGTTGGTCTTGCCTTTGCCAAATAGAGACTCAGTGTTCAGAACTTGTTGTTGTGTGTCTTTATCTAGCAGGTACTGAGAAGGTATTGTTGCTTCTACTTGAATGAACTTCTCCAATCCATATCCCTTTATGGTGGTCAACACTTTCGTAAGAACATATAATTTGGCATTAATCGAAAATGTTATTTAATTATCATATTTGTGTTTCTTGAAATAGGTTTCATGGATTTAATGCTTGAAGTGAAAGGGAAGAACTGAACTTTTTTCGTTGCAGGTCATTGAAAAGGATCAGGTCGTTGAATCTTTAAGAACTGAACTTTTTTCGTTGCAGAAAATTGCAAGTGATAAATATAAGGAGGTTGGAACTCTCAAAGGTGAACTCTCTCGGGTAATGAACGAACATGTGAACCTGAGGGACTGCTTAGCCCAATGCGACCAGAAGTTGAAGGAAAAATCAGCTGAGCTTGAACGTACATCTCAGATTCTGAGCAAAATGAACAAAGGTAAGGCTGATGTTGACAAGCTCTTGGACAAGAGCCAAGTCGGTCGACAAGGGTTGGGCTACACTGGAAAAAAAGGTCAGAATGAGTTATCGAACAACAAAGGTAAGAAGGTTCAAAATTTAAATGCTAAGTTTGTTCTCAACTCGTCCGGTAAGCAAATTCTCCATGAGATGAACCAACATCCGAAGGTATATATGAAAAACTTAATTCCTATGTGTCATTATTGTGAAATTACTGGTCACATACGTCCTAGATGTTATAGGATGCAGCATGATTTGAATGAAGGAAAGGTGTGTCAATGGAATCAGTTAGGTATACCCATGATGGTTCCTAAATTGAAACTTGATCTTAAAACCAAATGCAACAAAAGCTTTGGGTTGTAAAGGATAAACATAAGTGTTTTGCATCTGTGTTGTCTTTGAAAACCTCATTGGAAGGTAAATGGTATTTGGATAGTGGTTGCTCTAGACATATGACTGGTGAACCTTCATACTTATTTGATATAAAGTCTATGTCTTGTGGTGAAGTCACTTTTGGTGATGGAGTTAGTAACAAGGTTATAGGTGTTTGTTGCTTGACTATTGATGGGTTACCAAAACTGAAAGATGTGTTACTTGTTGAGAATTTGAAAGCCAACTTTCTAAGTGTTAGTCATCTATGTGATCAAGGGCTAAATGTCAATTTTTCACGAAGCAAGTGTACTGTGAGAGATGATAATGATGTCTGTGTGCTTGTAGGTTCACGATCGACTGAAAATTGTTATTTGGTTGACGTTGGTTCAAAGTGTCATCAAGCTATTTCTAGCGACACTGAGATCTGGCATCAACGTCTTGGGCATATTGGCTATTCTCATTTAATAAATTATCTAATGCAGGAATTGTTTGAGGAGTGTCGATACTGACGATGAAGGTTCATCCAGTTTGCGGACCTTGTCAAATGGGGAAACAGACACGTACACCTCATAAGGAGATACAACAGATAACTACAAAACAGGTACTTGAACTATTGCATATGGATTTGATGAGACCGATTCAGGTAGAGAGTTACAATGGTAAGAAGTACATATTCGTGTGTGTTGATGATTTTTCTCGTTTTACATGGGTGGATTTTATTTGAGAAAAATCTGATACTTTTGACACTTTTAAAACTCTTTGCTTGAGATTGGAAAAAGAAAAAGGCTTTCCTATTATTGGGATTCGAAGTGATCATGAGCGTGAGTTTGAGAATGTTGATTTTTCTAATTTTTGCAACTCACGTGGTATTTTTCATGAGTTTTCTTCGCTTAAGACGCCTCAGCAAAATGGTGTCACGGAGAGGAAAAATCGGACATTGCAAGAAATGGCCAGAGTAATGCTCCATTCCAAGGAGATGTCACTTCGTTGGTGGGATGAAGCAATTAACACTGCATGTTATCTCACTAACTGAGTATACAATCGACGAGATATTGGTGTTACTCCTTATGAACTCTGGAAAGGTAAGTCTCCGCACCTCAAACATTTGCATATCTTCGGCTGTAAGTGCTATATATAATGATCGTGAGCAGCTAGGTATGTTTGATGCCAAGTGTGATATTGGTTATTTTCTTGGGTACTCTTCTAATAGTCGTGCTTATAGGGTGTATAACACAAGTACTCACACGGTTATTGAAACAATCAATGTCACTTTTGATGATGTTTTGCCAAATGCTAGTTCATCTAGTTCTATTGGTTTTGATTTTGTTAATTCTGTGTCTTCCCCGGATAAACAAGAAGTTGAGGTGAATCAGGTTGATGTGAGGAAGGAAGAACCTACTCTAGACAATGTTGGTGAAAATTTTCAAAATTTTGCTTCCGATGAACCTACATTGTTAGGAAATCTGCCTGAATCATAGCGGGATCCACCTGCGAAGATTAAGAAAGATCATCCTTCAGAACAGGTCATAGGTGCTTTAGGTGAGAGAAAAACCAGAGGTGTTAGTCCCGATTTTAAGAAAATGATTGGAATTTCGCACTTTGCATGTTACACCTCTATGGTAGAACCTAAAAACGCTAAATGAGTCGGTTCGTATATTTTTATCAATTGCTTGTCTAATGCGATTTATTGTGTACCAGATGGATGTCAAATCCACATTTCTAAATGGGATCTTGAATAAAGTTGCGTACGTGAAGCAGCCCGATGGCTTCACTGATCCGAACTTTCCTAATCATGTGTGCCGACTTAAGAAGGCATTGTATGGACTGAAGCAGGCGCCACACGCATGGTACGAGAGGCTGACCATGTACCTTCTTGATAAGGGCTTCAAGCGAGGGGGAGTCGATCAGACGTTTTTTGCTCTAAAGACGAACAAG